TTGTTTGAATTCAAGTTTGTTTTACTGTGTGTTTTATCCATTGTCTTTGACTTTGCCTCATTGCCATGCGAGCTCATTTGTCATGTTCATGTTCGTTCTGTGTTGTTGTTTTTCTTTATATATACATACTTTCCTCATGATCTTGTTTGGGCCCATGGCAGCTCCTCTGGGCAGTGTTGTCTCTTTGAAGACATCAAACGTTTGGATGTGATGCGGCAAGTATTTGTTATATCCACTAGCTACTCTGTCATCCTCCTAAAAAGTCATTTCATCATAGGTTTACCATTATACATATAGTTTCTTTGCACTATTCCTTCACTCATTCACCTCAGTGCGTTGGTCCTGTTCAGTCCTATGTTGTTCTCATTCACCCTTTTTCTTTCACAAGAGTACTATTTTCTGAATCAACCTTTATTGTTTGGTTTTTAAAGATTAGACATCCAAAATAGTTAAAATCCCAGTTTTGCCTGAAGTACCCCTGAATTGTGAAATTTGCCACACTATACTCACTTTGTACAAAATGATGCCCTATATCGAAACAGGAGAGCCATGTCTGGGCTCGCTTACTTCATGGAAATTCATACCCTGCGGACCCTCCAACTCACCCTGCGCCTTGAGCCTCTTCCCGCACCGTCGCGGCTCGCCGCGCCCGTCGCCGCGCCACGCGGCGCCCCGTCGCGGCGAAGACGGCCACGCCCGATGCAGCGCTGGGAAGGTGAAGACGCTTGGTACAGAACGCCTGGACGGACAACGCGCCCGGTGTTCTGCCAGAAAAGAACACATGGAGTGAGTCCCAAGCTGTCGGAGTCACATGGAGTTGGGTGGTGTGACTCGTCCCATGCAGTAAGTGGATGATCGAAAAAAAAAAACTGTTCAATAAGGTGTTCTGTGTGGAAACCTCAAAATCAATACAGTCGCACCAGGTGATGTCCAAACTCAAACTCTAGAGCCGAACGGTGAACAGTGAGGGGCCACAGCTGAATCCTCGGGTCAGGAGTCTGAGGTCTCAAATCTGTGAACGGAGCATTTGGGAGCGTCTAAAATTTAATGAATAGGAGCCGAACCGGATGGCAAAAATAAAAAGTGCAGCTATGACACAGTGTGGAGCCACATGTTCTTTGTCGAACAAATTCTAGAAGACGATTGTCCAGGCTTGCTTTGGAACATCATGAACTGTGAACACAACATCAAAAGGGACTGTCCTGCTTTAGTACATACCTGGACCCTCCAGTTCGTACCCTAGATAGTGAGACATAAGTCACATACCCTTCACCAAGAACACAAACAGACTGGTACAGTACCCCATCTTTTGCAGAGGTACCCAGCAAAGAATTGGGTCCAGGTCTAGCTCCCCTGCAGAGGGACCGAAAACGGAGCGGACCAATCGAACCGCCGTACCCGTCTGTCTACCTTGACGGATGAATCGACTTTTCCCGGTCGCGGCCGTGGGATTGTTCCTTTTTACCTGTTAAGAAGCAACTGTTTTTTTTACTAAGGATTGAATGATTTTAGTCTGTTTCAAAATACATCAAAATACATTAACTGCTACAACACCAGGTCAACCAGCACATTTATGTCAAACGGAAGGCTACAATAGGGTGTATGCATGTTTTTTTAACCACACCCATGTCCCCCAACATCCACTAAGTTGCATCATGCATCATCATGCAACCCATGGGATTCCGCGCATGTCTGCAAGGCTGGGTGAGCCCTTCGTTCCACGTGTGCGTCGTGGAACTGTTGGACTTGGATTTGCAGTCGAAGCCGGAAAAGAAACAAAGAAGGAGCACACATATCATAAACTCTTAAACCATCATAAACCCCCCAAGGATGTCCAATTCGGAGGTGTTATTTCCGTCTACGTGACTCCCCATGGAATCAGAGCGATTCTGTGCGCAAACTCAGCGGTTCTGTTTTTGTTGGTGGCTTGTGCCATGAAATTCACTTCCCGCAGTGGTCCTGGTAAAGTCACTAGAGTGGGAAACCACCTGAAAACCTCCAAAAACGCTGAGCTACAGTACTACTAAATCATACAGTTAACTACGCTCGGCAAAGGAAAGTTCACCAACATGGAAAGTTGCCTTAATTGTCCAGTTACCCTTCCAAACTTCGGAAGGAACTCCCAAGAAGCTGCCAAGGAACTCCCGCCCTGCACCGTCTCAATGCTCTTGGTGCTGACGCTGGCAGTGCGGCTGCAACGACTGGACCACGCACCGACCGGTCAGGGTGATCCATGGCATCGGTGGGGCGGCGAAGGCTTGGTCGAGCTGCTCTGCCAGCTGCTCTGAAGAGGTGTTAGGTTGAAGATGGTTGAAGGCTTCCCGGAGGCTTTGCTGGCCAGTGCCACTTGGTTGAAAGTGTTTTGTTCCTCGCAACATCTGGATGGTTGATGATTGAGGAAGCATGAATCAACCACTTCTTTGATTGGTGAATACGTGAAGAAGATCTCTGCAAGGCAACGTGACTGACTGACCATAGAACTCAAACAGTACCTGGATCATCCAAGAGGTCACCAATAGACTAATCTATACTACTTATACACCTCAACTAAACATCCATCCTGGTAGGCTTCAATTTGGGGAATGGCAGTACCAGCAGCTCCGCTCTGGAACAACATGCGGCTCCTGGTCCTCCTGGTCGCCCCAAAGTGGTCGTGCGGCCGTCACGAGAACTCTGTGAACTCAGTTGAAGCAACAAACTCAGGAGAGTCTGCGGAGAAGTCTGAACATGGAGAAGATCGCAGTCTCTGCGAATGGAGCATAGTCCATCTTCGCATCACGGTCTCTGCAGTGGAGATTCTCTATTGGAGCACTTGGCATGAATTGCAGTGACCAAAAAGACATTATAGAAATTATATGAAATTAGGAATTCAGTATAATTTAATGTTTATGTTTGTTGGCCTCTGGGTACTCAAGAGCTGGGAAGTTGTTCCGATTCTGCCAATGGAAGTCAAGTCTATGTAGCCTGAAGCCAAAGGCCAACGAGTCAAAGGTCTTCAAGTTCAGCACCCAAACACCTCCTGAACCCAGAAGCTCATAGACCCACAAACAGCTGCATGTTTGTGAGGGTCTTTCAGTCAAAGCTCTAGCTATGAGGGTTCAATGAACCCTTGGGAGGATGATTGGTTTTATGTTTTGGGGGCTAAAACACAGAGCTATGCCTCTCCATACTTCGAGAAACACGACATACTTAGTCTAGTGGAATTTGGAGTGCTACCTGATGCTTGCCTATGCTTGCCTGCTCCATTCTCAGAGAATTGCTCACTGCGGAACCAATAAACGGACAAATCGGAGTACTTGCCGTGGGTCCAAACTCCAATCCCTGCATCCAAACGCAGAACAGGGCACCAGAAGTTCCATTGGCACCAGAAGTTCCATGCCAGCCGTGGTATGGAAATACTCCAGGTGTGGGGCACCTACCACTACCCTCTCGCATAACGGCGTGGAACTGCGGGTCTTTCTGGTGCAAAAAGAGACACCTCGGTGTCTCAGAGTGGTGGGTCTACCATGTCGGACAAATGAATATTTGCTGAGGTGCATTGACTCGCTGCTTCAAAGGGTCCTGGGGACTGAATCATCTGCAAACAAAGCTCGTGTGCAGTGTGGTCTGGCACCAGCCACCAGCTGGTTTACGACGAATTCGGATCCATCGGTGTGTGAGTTTCCATTCAATATCATCCACTACATATTCGTTTTCTGCTCGGATCCCCAATTGCTGAAGTCGTGATCTCTTCTCTCAAGGATGACCACAACCCAATGATCAAAAACCAAGCAAAAACAACCCTCAAAACGGTCACTTAACCGCTCGTGGAATCAAAAAAACCCTCCAGCACCACTGCCCTTCACCGCTCACATCACCCGTTTCACCGCCTCCCGCAGCTCTTGCTCCACGTAGCTGGCGGAGACGGAGGTCGCCGGCCTCCGTGGGTGTTCGGCAGGTCACTGGGACTCCGACGGCCGGCTGGAAGTAGACCAAACATTTATACCAGCAGTCACAGGTCACAAAGGGGTGTTTAATGGAGGTTAGGGGTGCCCAGCTACTCCACTCACTGGATGAGACTAAACACCACCACTTTGTGACTGCTGGTATAACCTTTTGCCGTCTGTTCATGGTTTCGTGGGGAAACCAATCCCCCCAAAATAAGGTTCAAGTATATATAATACATATAATCAAAAACGATCAAAAACGGGACATCTCAATGTTGTAGGGTTTCAGAAGATACATGTTCAGTGGTTCATTGGTTTCAATGTCCCAATCACCCTCGAAGATCAATGAGATCATGTGCGATCAACAACTGCTTTGGACACAACTGAATCCCAAACACTCCATGTATGCCAGATATGCCGATCAGTTGGGGTGGTTTGGGGGGGTCAATGAGCAAAATATATAGTGGTTGATCATGTGGTCACAAAGCAAGACGCAGGTTCATCTGTGCAAAGCAGTGTCCACATTCGTGTACGCGCTGATGGCTCTGTGGGAGCGGGCTGCTGAAAGAAGAAGCCTTCAGGTCGCCAAGTGGACCTCCCCTTTTGGGGTGGGCCATCGACAGATGTTCCGTGCTGTGCCTTGCACAGTGCACGCTCAGTGCACGCACAGTGCACGCCTCAGTGCACGCAGCCACTTCCCTGTAAATAGCAGCATTTGGCGCTAACGGCATCAAAAAACCATAACATGTGATTTGTCCAAACTTTTTCGCTTTCAGAGATGCAGCGGCGCTAATTTTCATGGTTTTGGGGCCGTGCACTGAGCGTGCACTGTGATTTCTGGGCCAGGGGTTCAAGCGCGGGCGGTTTATTAGTTTAGACTGCTTATACGGGCCTACAGCCAAACACGCACACGGTTGCAAAAACTGAGCCCACGCGATTCCACGGCAGCAATCGTACACAGTTGCATATCGCTGTGTGTTTGGCAATTATACTTGCGCATGTTGTTTTGATTGACAGATGCAAACACATTGCTGTTGCCAGACGGTATTGTAGTGCAACTATTTGCAGTGCATGTAGTCATGAAAACACTTTTGATCACCCCCTAGCATCAAGGAAATTGCAAATTGAGATTCGTGGCAGGTCACAGGTTGCAGCACGGTCAAAGTTTTATTCGGAAACTAAAAGGTGATCTTCGGAAACTTTATGCGAAATAGTTTCTGAAGATCGCGAAAATAGTCTCTGAAGAGAGTAGTTGCGGAAGAGTACCAAATAGTTGTGGAAGAAAAGTTTCAGAAGAATGGAGAGTTGCGGAATAGGAATTAGTTCGTTGCAGCACGTTGCAGTTCCACAGAGATCGTAGCAGGTTCGTGGCAGCACTTTGGAATGCCATTGGTCTGACCAGGTGTTTTGATACCAGGACCCAGGCAATGTCTCATAATCCCGGTCTTCTGTCCCTGCGCCGACTGCGTGGAAAACTGGCTGTTGGATCCATGCGGTAATGGCCCGGAGAGCCTGGAGATCCTGGGAGGAATTGCAAGAGGTGACTGCCTTGATGGATGTCGAGAGTAAGGGTGCCCAGGCGGTGGAGGGCGTTGCGGAACTGCAAGATCGGTAAAAGACCTGTTGGCAGGCCAACGATGTTCTGACACCCGCGCCTCAAATTCTTCGGGAGTCAGCTCCACACTCTCAGTGATAATGATGTTTCCGTGCACCATGCCCTTGGCAGCCAGCCACACGAACCCCGGGCGGCATTTACAGCTGCGGATTTCCATGGTCTTGTCGCCGCTCAAAATCATCTGCAGCCATGGGTCCTTCATGACCATGACGCGGTCTCCGACTCGTGGAGCACGACTGGATTCTTCTTCTTCTTCTTCTTCTTCTTCTGCACGCGCGCGTGGAAGCTGTGAGGCAGACAGATCCACATCCCAGGGTACACTACCATTCATTGGCTCTTTACCAAACCATGTTTGGCAATCCTCATTGAGGCACACGGGATCTTTTCACCACTGCCAGTCTTGATGGGCGAGGTGTCCATCCTTCTGACATTAACCTGTGATACCCCACATGCCCCTGCGAACGCACCGCAGCCACGCCGCTGACGTGAACCCCCC